CACCCTGGGGACGGTGACACCGCGGGCACTGCGGCCACCCTGGGGACAGTGACACTGCGGGCACTGCGGCCACTGCAACGACTGCGGCCACCCCGGGGACGGTGACACTGCGGGCACTGCGGCCACCCTGAGGACGGTGACATCGCGGGCACTGCGGCCACTGCAACGACTGCGGCCACCCCGGGGACGGTGACACTGTGGGCACTGCGGCCACTGCAACGACTGCGGCCACCCCGGGGACGGTGACACCGCGGGCACTGCGGCCACCCTGGGGACAGTGACACCGCGGGCACTGCGGCCACCGGGGACGGTGACACCGCAGGGACTGCGGCCACCCTGGGGACAGTGACACTGCGGGCACTGCGGCCACTGCAATGACTGCGGCCACCCCGGGGACGGTGACACTGCGGGCACTGCGGCCACCCTGGGGACGGTGAAACCGCAGGGACTGCGGCCACCCCAGGGGACAACGACACCATGGGGACAGCGGTGCCACAGGGACTGTGGCCACTGCAGCCACCCAGGGGACAGCGGCACCATGGGGACAGCAGCCACCCCAGGGAACAGCAGCCACCGCAATGACAGCGGCCACCCCGGGGGACAGCGGCCACCCTGGAGGACAGCGGCCACCCGAGGGGACAGCGGCCACCGTGACCATCAGGGCCACCGCGGCCACCCCGGGGGACAGCGGCCACCCCGAGGGACAGCAGCCACCGCAGGGCCACTGCAGCCACCTCGAGGGACAGCGGCCACTCCAGGGGACAGCGGCCACCGTGACCACCGCGGCCACCCCAAGGGACAGCGGCCACTGCAGCCCCCGTGTCCCCTGCGGCCACCGCGTCCCCGCGTCCAGCACCGACCTGCAGCTCCTCGCCCGCATCCCGCCCTCCGGGCTGACCACACGAAGGCCAGAGCTCTCTCTCTATATATATATATATAATTTTTTTTTTAATTTCAGCTTGACCCTTTTATTTTATTTTCTGGGATTTTTCCCGCTTTTTTTTGTTGTTTTTTTCCCGCCATTTTCCCCCCTTTTCCGCCCCCCGGATCCGTAGGTAGCCTTCGACGCCATCATGCCTTGGTAAACGTATCCGATCAGTGAGATATTTCATAGCGAGAGGGATAAGAAAAAAAAAAAAAAAAAAAAAGGAAAAAAGCAAAAAAGAGAAAAAAAAAGAAAAAAGATTCTATATTATTATTATATATATAAAAATATAAAAGGGGGCGTGTGGGAGAGGAGATTTTGCTGCGACCATGGCCTTGGTCCCTTCGATGCCTTATCTAGGAGCGGCTGCCGCCCGCTCCGCCACCTTCGACGTTGTAACCTTCCAACGGGAAAAAAAACACGGAAAACAAAAATCCAAGTCTTTTTTTTTTTTTTTTTTTTTTAATTTTAATTTTAATTTTAATTAATGGTGGTTTCCGGCCGCTTCGCTTTTCCGGTTGTTTCCTTTCGTTTTGGTAATGGGGGGAGGTTTCGCTTTCCCTTTCCCGCCCTGCTTCCCTTGTAAAACCAGCCGCCCTCTCCCTGCCCTTTCCCGGATTTGGGATCTTCCCCTCCTCCCTCCCCGGAGCACCGGCTCCTGCGGATTTGGGGTTATTTGTAGTTTTTTGCATGATTTTCGGAGCCGGGCGCGGCTGAGCGGAGGGGCTGGTGCCTCCGGCGAGAGGTTTCCGGCATCCCGGCTTTTCCACCGCCTTCCAAAGAGCCGGATCCGACGGAGAAGGGCTCGCGGAGCCGGGAAAGCCGCGCAGAGGCGGCCGCAGCTCCCTCCTCTTTTCCCTCTTTTTCCTCTCCCGCTGCCCTCGGCTCCGGGGCTCGCGGGGCCGGGAACGGGCATTGGGAATGGGGAAATGCTCAGTGTTCAGGACACGGCTCTTCCCGCCCGGAGCGCCGGCTCTGGCCTCCGCTCCCGGCCTCCTTCCCGCTCCGGTGGCCAGACAAGATCTGCCCTTTCCCTCCCTTTGGCAGGAAGGAGGCACAGGGAGCTCCGGAGGCGCCGGCTGCCGCCTTTCCGGGATGGGAGGAATTCTGGAGCATCCTGGTGCCTCCCGCTTGGTTTTGCCCCTCCGGAGGCACCGGGAGCCTCCAAAAGTGAGACCAGGGCTCGGGGGCTCTTCCCATTAAATTGCGTGTGTTTCCCAGCAGAAAAGTCGGGATGAGCGGAGACGGGAGCGCCCCGTCGGAAAGGCGGCTGTGGATGAGCTGGAGGTTAGAGCTGGAAAAGGCACCGGAAAGCGGGAGCAGGCGCAGTCCGCGGTGATCCCTGTGGATCCCCGATCCAGGTGGGAGTTGGGAACGGGGATCCCGCTCCATGTGCACCTGGAGCTGCCGACTCCGGCTCCGGGCTCCAGCGCAGGAGTCCCGGAGCCCGGGCGGATGCAGAACCGCATCCGGAACGGTTGATCCCGAGGGAGATCCCGCGGGATCTTCCCGGTGCCTTGGGGTAGGAAGGTGAGGCCAGGGCGTGGGGATGCTCCGCCCCAGCCCCTCTCCGCTCCCGCCATTCCCTCTGTCCCGGCGGAATAACGGGAATAACGGCGCCGCTTTCCCTCCAAATGAGGTCCGATTTCCCCCTTCCCGCCGCTCCCAGGGATCCCGGCAGCTCCCGGAGCCGCTCGCTTCCCGCGGCCGCCCGGCGCGGCTCCGGGCCGGACCGGGATCCCCGGCGCGCGGAGGCGCCGCGGAGGCTTCCCGGCCTTTTCCCCCTTTTCCCCCTTTTCGGAAATCCCGTTTTTTAAGAGAAGGGCGGGCGGGGGCGGCGCCCGCCGCGTCTATTTTTGCATTTCTCTATTTTTATATAGGAAACTTTGAGCATTTGTATTTTGATAACGTGGGAAGCACTAGGACCCCCGGGCTGGGAACTGCAGCGGGAAACGGGGTGGGAGGAATGTCGGGATTTGGGAGCATCCCCCCGGGCGGGAAGCAAGTGCCAAAGCACCCGGCACGGCCTGCTTTTGGGGGCAATCGGGGCCTTTTTGGGGCATTTCATCCCTTTCCCCCCGTGGCGGCCAGCGTTTTGGGGACGGCCACGAGCGAAACGGGCCTTGATGGGGACACGGGCGTCACCGGGGCGGGGGGGTGACACCCGCGGCCCCCCAGGGCCCCCCCGCACTGACCCGCCCCTGCGCAGTCTGTCCCCCCCATCCCGAGCCCCAAATTCCCGCTTTTTGCCCTCTTTTTATTTTTTATCCCCTCTCTCCTTTTCTAACAAAATGGACAAAAATCCGCGCCCCCCCCGCCCAAAATCCGGTGGCCGATGTAACCGTGTCCGAACCCGCCGATTTTTTGGAAAAGTGCTATTTTTTTGTACAAAAAAAAAAGGAAAAAAAAAAAAAAAAAAGAAAAAAAGACCAGATTAAACGTAGTTTTTGGCTCCTTTGTAACCGGCTCTGGGCTCCTTTCCTCTCTTTTAGTGGGGGGGGAGATGGGGGGGGCTCCTGGGGGGGGCTGGGCGGCCGCCCGGGCCCCTCGCTGCCCCCTCCCCCGTGGGGCCTTCGGCCTCCTCCTCCTCGGCCTCCTCCTCCTCATCCTCCTCCTCCTCCGCGTCCGGCCGAGTCCTTCCCGGCGCGGGGGCGGCCGCAGCTCCAGGTGCTGCCGGAGGCTCCCATGGGGCTGGCGCCGGGGCCACCAGGTGGGACCCCCCCCATCCCTACCCCCCCATCCCTGTCACCCCCCGTGGGTGCCGGCACCCCGGGGTGCTGCCCCCCGGCCCTTCCCGGCGCTCCGGAGCCGCCGGCGTCCCCGCAGGCTCCCGGGATCTCAGCTGCGTCTCCTACAAACACCCGAGCGTGCGGGGCAGCCTGGGGGGGGGCGCGGGGGGGGGGCCCGTGCCCGGCACCGTCCGCTGCCCCCCCCGCCACTGCTGCATCGGCATCTGGAACCGCAGCCAGGCCCTCGTGCAGGGTGAGCCCGGACGCCGGGGCCCCGCGCGCCGCGGGGGGGGCATGGGGGGGCCCCTGGGGCTCGTCCCGCCTTGGGGGGGGGGACCGGACGCCTGGGCCCCTTCCCAGCTCCCGCCTGGCTTTGGCCTTGGCTGCTTCCCGGGTGGGGGCCTTGGAAAGTGGGATGGGGGGCGGGAGGGGACGGAGGTGACGGCAGCGCCCCCCCCCCCTGCCCCCCCCAGGCTGCTGGGGCGGCGGGGGGGCCGGGTGCCCCTCGGCCGCCTGCGCCCCCAGCCCCGCGGGCGGCCCCGGCGCCACCGTCCGCGTCTGCCTCTGCCACGGCCACCTGTGCAACCGCAGCGGCGACGGCGGCCCCCGCGCCCCCCCGGGTACCGCCGGGGGCACCGGGGAGACAGGGGACACCGGGGGACATCGGGGGACATCGGGGAGATGGGGACATCGGGGAGACAGGGGACACCGGGGGACA